ACACAAATACACACACTAACACACACACTAACACTAACACACACACTCTAACACACACACTAACACACACACTAAAACACACACACACACTAACACACACTAACACTAACACACACTAACACACACTAACACTAACACACACTAACATACACTAACACTAACACACACTAACATATTTTTTTAAATGTAATCCCCCAGCCTCCTTACCTTTTGGAGTGCTGAGGGGATTCCCTGGGGTCCAGTGGTGCTGCTGGGCTCCTGGGCGGCCGATCACCCGGTAGGCAGGCTGGCGACCGTGCGAGGGAGCACTCACCCCTGTGTGCCTCCTCTTCAGCTCCCTCACGCGCCGCGTACGGATGCCAGAGCCGGAAGATGACGTCATCTTCTGGCTCCGGTATCAGTGCGGTGCGTGAGGGAGCTGAAGAGGAAGCACTCAGGGGAGAGTGCTCCATCGCATGCCCGCCAGTCTGCCCGTCCACCCGGTAATACCAGGGCAAGCCTCGGGGGGGCCCTGAGGTGGTCAACTCCTGGGCCCCCCAGGAGAAGAGGCTGGCCCCAGTGGGTATATACCGGGTCGCAGAGGCACCACTGTGCATTGTCATGCATGAAGATGATTTTATTACGGAAAGCATAGTTCTTCCTTCTGTACCAGGGAAGAAAGTGGTCAGTCAGAAACTCCACATAATTTGCAGAGGTCATTTTTACACCTTCGGGGACCCTAAAGGGGCCGACCAGCTCTCTTCCCATGATTCTGGCCCAAAACATGACTCCACCAACGCCTTGCTGACATCGCAGCCTTGTTGGAACAAGGTGGCCATCCACCAACCATCCACTACTTCATCCATCTGGATCATCCAGGGTTGCACGGCACTCATCAGTGAACAGGACTGTTTGAAAATTTGTCTTCATGTATTTTTCTGCCCAATGCAGCCATTTTTGCTTGTGAGCATTGGTTAGTGGTGGCCGAATAGAAGGTTTATGCACAGTTGCAAGACTCTGGAGGACTCTACACTTTGATGTCCGTGGGACTCCAGAGGCACCAGCAGCTTCAAATATCTGTTTGCTGCTATGTAATGGTATTTTAGCAGCTGCTCTCTTGATCTGATGCATGGATCTGGCAGAAATCTTCCTCAATGTTCCTTTATCTGCACAAACCCGTCTGTGCTCTGAATCAGCCACAAATCTCTTAATAGTGCGATGATCACTCTTACGTTTTTGTGAAATATCTAATGTTTTCCTACCTCATCCAAGGCATTGAACTATTTCACTCTTTTCGGCAGCAGAGAGATCCTTTTTATTCCCCATATTGCATGAAAATGGTGCTCTACTTAATAATGTGGAACACTCTTGTAACGGCTACCACAGTGGAGAGGGGGTACCAGCCATTGGAGACGTCCTTTTTCCTAGCAAGATACTGTGCAGTAATGGAGTAGCCTTCTTTCTATCAGCTGGATCCAAGTAGAGAGAGAGAGGTAGAGCTATTAAAAGAGCTAGTGATTAGCTGATCAGGTTCCCTTTCATTAACAAGACAAAGCTATGTTTTGAAGGGTAAAGTAGAACTGAGGTTTAATGACAGGTACTCTCCTTTTATGTGGTGCGCCCATGCAAGGGAGACACCCACAGACAATTAGACATTAACAAATCAGACAATCGTTACAACCCACAGATTCCTTCCCCTCTGCTTGGGAGATAATTGAGTTTCTTACTGTATCTACTCAATTATCTCCAAGCTAAAACTTACTTTTTATGCATTTTTATAACTTTTGGATTTTTCATCATACAGGAATAAAATTATATTATATTTTTATGAACAACACAACTTGGGGGAAAACATATTCAAAATTCGTACAAATCCATTCATGGGTTCCAGAAATATTAAAAAGTCGGTCTATTTCTGCCCTGAAAAACAACAAAGTTCCATCAAAAGGCGGCGCTCGAATCGTCGAACGCACTTCGACTTCTGTCGAAGTGAAACCGGGGTTAAGTTTCAGCAGTGTTCGTTAGTTAAGTGGAGGTCTATTTTACACTAAAATGACAAAGTCCCATTCGAACATGAGTTCGAATCTTCTAATGGGACTTAATCTCCAGCCGCAGTATCGAAGGGTAGGGGAAGGTATAGGTCAGCAGTGTTCGTTCAAATGTGTGGCTGATTTCCGTTCCAGGGATTTGACGGCACATACCGCTGAACACGTTCGACTGGATTAAAATGTCCGCCGCCACGTGTTCGATTGTCTAATGGCGGCCTCTTTGACTTCTTCGGCACTTCAGCTGCATTCGAAGTGCCATATCAAACGTACCAATACTTTGCACAAAACAGTTAAAGGGCCAGACACAGTCTTTGTTCTTAGGTACAGGCAATGTGGATGATGGCAAAACCAAACAAAAGGTAGAGGTTCCCAGGAAACATGGTAGGGGGTTGTTACAACCCTCCTTTAGTAGTTTTTCCTTAAATTGGGCTCACCTGGCAATTTAATTATCACAGGTGTCCGAGATTGTTTTCAGTGATCAAAAGAGCTCTGAGACACAATGCCATCCATGAGTTAAACTGAAAAACAAAATATTTAATCTTTTTGACACTTAAATAGAATTTGCATAATAATTTGGAACAGTGTGTATATGTAAATGTTTACTTAGCTAATGATATTTATTGTTTTCATTTTATCTGACAGAAAGATTATTAAGTATATAGGTATTAAATATGGCATTAATATTCTTCTTTTCTCTCCCTTATAGTAGGCTGCTATTTAGTTTTTTAAAACAATTTTTTAAGCATTTTATGATACATCTAATAATGTTCTATTTGTGATACTGTCTATTTAATATTATGTATAGCGATATGCAGGTGATTTGTTACAATTGTTTTAGATTTTATTTGCAATCATATTATATTCAATGATGTTTAGATGATATGGCAATGTTTTTTGTGGACTATGTTCATTTGCATAAGGACATTCAGTTATGTTTGTCAAAGGTATTATATAAGAACCAATCAGTATGTGATCCATAATTAGTCACTCCCATTTAGATGGACTTAAATATCGAAGGACAACATTATTATGGTGTGATTTGAAGAAGCCATCTAGGCAAAACACGCCACCATGCTTCGTTATGCACCAGGTCATTGCGTGCTTGTACGAAGCTCCTAGAAGGAGTCTAGGGACAGCAAGCCTGAGGACTGCAAGTGCTAGCGGTGAGTTGGAGGGACTGCAGACACACAGTGATTGTACTTTGCCAGGGAAAAGAGCTCATTATGTGAGAATAAATGGATTTACTTGTATCCAGTTTCCATCCTGGTTGCCTGTCACATTGTGGTCCTGTTCATAGGATACCAAGCTATTAAAGTTAGAGCAGACTTTTACTGCTCTCCTCTTGTGAAATTTTAGATTCATCTACTTATATAATATTTTATGTCACAGAGATACACTATATATTTCTCTTCTCTATTTTTGTATTTATGCATTGTGCTACATACCACATATCTTGAGCGAAATACTGGGAAGCTCCATTCTTTAGGCTGTTTTAAAGTAAGTGCTCTCTTTGGATTTTTTTTTATCCCAGTGCACTTATTTGCACAAGTAATTGACACAGTTGTGTATTCTTTGCACTGTAGTTAGCACTTCATAATGCACTTTGAATTGCACTTTCATTGCACTGTGTTGCACTTTATGTGTATATATGCATTGTATAGTATCTTAAAGGTATAGCGCACCTTTTTATTTTTTATTACATATACGTTAACAGCGTACCTTTCTCTTCCAATCAATCTGTCCAAGAATCACCTGGGTCAGATGTACCCAGCCCAAGAAATAGTTTGACCAGGCTGAGACTACATTCCAATCTGGCACAAAGTTCCAGGCTCTCGAGGTTAAGTGCCAGTCTCTGAAAACACGTGTTTCTGGCTTAGGGAAAGGCGTCTCCCCCTGGCTCTTAGTGAGCGATGAAAGTTTTTCCTCCTCCATATCTTCCCTACAAAAAGCACTCTCCTGGGTGATCATATAAGATAACAACCGTTATTTTAACTGGGCAGCCTCTTTGGACCAGGCACACTTAGTTGGTGCCTGGTCCTGCTGCAGAGGTTGCAGCTGCCCTAGGTTCTCAGAGTAGTCCCTGGAGGTGCAGAGCAATCGCTCAGTGCTGGGAGGGCATAGATAGTTTTGGGAAAAATACAATAGACTGGAGCAGGCTACAGCACAAGTTCTTATTAGAATAATCTAGGGGGGTGTCCCACCAACTTCCACCCATAAGCTGAGGGTGGGTGCTCTAATTATATTATTCAAGGGGAGGTCCTAGTACCCCTAGCTCCAACATACAAGCGGCAGGCATGAGGCAGATTCTAGTTATAATATTCAAGGGGGTACTAGCATCTCCACCAGCCCCTGCCAAGTAGCATTGACTGGGAAATATTATAATATAACTGACAGACCACCCAAAGTTGGTTGGTGTTGGGCACTATAGTATTTTAGGGAGGACCTAGTGTAGTCCCACACCCATTGGTGGTGGGTGGGGTATCTAATAATAATAAAAATATGTAGGGGTGGACATGCCATTATCTACTACCGATTAGTGCTGTTGTCACCAGCCACTATTAAATTAAATGAACTCTACCTACCCCCACCTCATTATTAATAGGGTTAGGACAATAAACAATTACAATTAAAATAAAAAATATATACTTAACATCAGAAGCCTTCTTGTAATCTTCTTTTCTTTAGCCCCCAAAAATGACAAATTAAAATCTATAACACTGTGATGCAACTATTAAAAAAAAAAAAATGAAAATGCAAAAAACAGAAGCAAAAGAACCCAATGGGAAAAAAAGGCAGAGTAACAAAAATAGATGCATCTTCTACCCGTGAAGGCACCACGCAGAATGAGCTTCAATGCAGAAAAAGTCTTTATTAAGGTTTTCCCACGCTCTAAATTATTATTAGAATGCTCTAGTTGGTTGGCTTGTAATGGTATTAATTGAAGGGACAATTGTGTATATTATTATTGGATACTCTACCTGCCACCAAAGGGAGGGGTCTAGGGGAGACTCAAGGTCACCCCCTTAAATTTTATAATTAGAGCCCCAACCTTGCCCCACCCGCTGACAATGGGTTGGGAAAGGGGGATCATTAGGATGTCTCCACATCTTTTAAAACATAATAGCACCCACTCGCTGCCCAAGAGTAGGGGGATGAGGGGAGTACAGTGACTTTTTCCACTTTCCAATATTTAATTTAAAGTCCCCCACCTGATGTCCACAGGTTAAGATAGAAAGGGCACGATGTCCACCCTGTTATATTACAGGCTACATCCCCATGAGAAGGAGGCATCAATGGCGGCCGAGTCACTAGTTTTAAATGTATGGTATACAGGGCCGCCACCCGCCACCAGAAATTTTGGGGCCACTAACTCAGCTCACGGTCTGGGCCCCCTGGGGCCCGCCTCCAAATACCGCCCACAGGGTCCGCCTCCAAGTACCGCCCACAGGAATACACACACAGACACAAACACACACACTGATACAAAAAGACACAGATACATACTAACAGACACACATACTGAAACAGACATACACGCATACAGGCATACATACTGACACACGCATGCTGAAACATACACACATATACATACACACTGACATACCTACATACACACATACATACATACATACACACATACATTCATACATACAGACCCTAACATCCATACACACATACATTCATAATGGCATACATACATACACACATACATACATACATTCAGACTGACATACATGCATATATACAGACATAATTGCAGACATACTGACAGACATACATGCATACAGACATCCATACACACATACACACAGACATACGTTCATAATGATATGCAGACATACATTCATACTGACATACAGACATACATATATACATATATAATGACATACAGACATACATATATACATACATAGACATACATACATTCAGACATGCTTACATAGACATACATGCATGCATACATACATGCATACATACAAACATGCATACAGACAAACATACAGACAGACAGATATACATACATACAGACATGCATGCATACATACAGACATACATACAGACAGACATGCATGCATACATACAGACATACATAGACAGACATACATACATAGACATACATGCATGCATACATACAGACAGACATGCATGCATACATACATACATAGACATACATACATACATACATACATAGACATACATACATACAGACAAACATACACATACATACAGACATGCATACATACATACAGACAGACATACAGACAGACAAACATAGAAATACACACACATACACACAAAGCTCATTTTCCAGCCACCCTCCTGTCTCTTACCTTTTCTTTGCAGGAGGGTGGCTGGGGCTGATGGGAGCAGTCGGCACGGCTCTCCATAACTGCCGGGCGTGTGCTCCTCCCGCGCGAAGTAAGCTGGGAGGAAGTGACCACTGCCTTCCAGCAGTGTTTTTTTTTTTTTAAAGGAGCCCAGTCACTCGATTACACGGCCACAGCGCTGACCGGGCCCCTGAAGATATAGGGCCCATCGAGTGGCCCTAAGTGCATGGGCCACCCGATGGGCCCATCAGCGTGAGGGCCCCGTTATGGTTGTCACCCCCTGATGGTGGCCCTGTTGGTATATATACATCCCTCTGCCACATGGCAGGTGGGAGCAGGTTTTTTTTTTTACTATTTAACCATCAAGCACAGGCCAGCAACCACATAGTTAGGATGCATTGTCAAGGGTTGTTCAACTATTTGATTGCTGGCTGCTAGCATGGTCAGCAGGTAAATACTACAGATTGCTCAAATCCAGGCCTGGATTTGAAGCATCTAGCCCCATATTTCAACCTTCCAGAGGTGTTCAGTGCAGCTAAAATCCCGAACAAATTGAGACTCATTTGGAGTCCGCAATGCATAATCCAGACATTGTTTCATAATGTCTGAATTTTGCATTCCGAAAGGACCTGGACTCCATTCTGTACAGGGCCATTCAGACTTTAGTGATTTCCCTTTTCATGCCCTTTTTATATTAACTCATTATCAATATGATGTCAATATTATTCTACATTTTATACACAAGTGTTTTAGCTAGTTCATTCTTTCAAGGTTGTAGACTGCATTTTTACTAATCACAAAAAAGACAAAGGACATGACAGCTAAACATCGAGGAATGAGGACAATGAAGCCGCATTCCCTATTTTCCTTTCTGGGCATGGTGAGAAGTTGGGGAAAGAGGGATTGTATTGCTAATTCATACATTACTCTTACTTCCTGAGACAATGTGAGCAAAAAAAACAAACAAACATGCAAGCCCTCTCTGCACCATCATTGTAGCAAAATAGCATTAAAAAGTATTGTATACCTTAATGCTTTTTCCATGTTTTCATGATTTTTTCCATCAGTGCACATCAGTGTTATAATATCAAGAGCATGGGAATGAAATTCATGCTTACACTTACATCCACACTGGTGAAGCTGCTCACTTTGCTAAATTTCTACAATGAGCAAAATGCATGTCTCCCTCGTGCAAAAGCATTGAAAAGTGTTCAAAAATCAAAATTCATATATTAAGCATGGACGCATAATTAAGCTTGAGCGCTGTTTAAGAAAATATACTATAAAGCTATAAATGATAAATCACTTTACATTTTACATACGTGGATGAAAACTAGTGAGCAATATCCAGATACTGTCATGTGCAATTTAGAGAGCAAGTTACATAAAAAATACTCACAACTTGTAAGAGACTCGTTGTACAGTATTAACTAGAAACAGAGTACAGAAGAAAAAGCTTGTGTTATAGATAACCCTTGCATACCCTGCTCCGAGTTAAGTTCAGATTTCCCCACACTATGAATCCAGTGGTCCCCAACGATACACTCTCTCCAATCGTATGCACCAGATCAACCTTAAAAAGTACATATGAAATGATTACTTATTTTACCATGGTTCATTCACATTTTAGTTTTGAAAGAGATTATTTAACTACATTCACTAATATCTTGATTGCACCATGTTTTCTAGATTTCATTTAAATACCCTAATGCTTTCTTTACTTGAAGACATGGAACACTTCTAGGTTGTTTACTTCCTCTGTTACTAAAATTACAACATTGAAAATTGAATTTTTAAGCACTTGAAGGGATTACTGGCACTGTAGAATGTTAAGGATAGACTGCATACAGGAAATGATATTTAATCTAGAGTTTAGCCAATATATATCAATATCTATATATACATATTTTTTTCATTTGGAGATAAATGGCAAAGGAGATGACATCATCCTGCAGAATTGTGGGAGAAACATCACGTAAAAACAACCCATGTGATTGCTCAAATGTAAACACCATAAGATATAAAAAAATATTGTTACTTGTACAGAGGTTAATAGGCACATTCTATTTTAATCTATTTTGTTATAGATGAGCCGCCTTAACCTTGAATCGTATGTTGAGGTTCAGCTTAGTTTGACCCTAACAGCTCACTATCGATAAATCATCTCACTGACAATATATCTAAGATTTGAAATCGTTGTTTAGTGAATAAGTGAGTGCGCTGGATTTTGTATTATATATGTATAGCTGTTATCGGTCTTATAAGCGATTGATAAGAATTGCTATTACGTTTGCTTTGTCCAGATTAGTTAGATTAGATTTAGCTCATTAACAGGAAGGCACACAATAGTTCACAATCTTATTGCAAACTTAAATACCAATTTTATTATATTTGTTATCTTGCTAAGTTTTATTTTTCTATGATTGTTACATTTCACTTTGGTAAGCATTCTTAGTATCAAGGGTAGTGCTACTTAAATTGATACTGTTGCAATTTTCAAATAACTTTCTTCCAATTTATTTACCAATGCGGATTACAGATAGGGTGTTTCTATTTACTCATTATGTTTAGATCATAGCCTTGCCAGCTGTGCTCTTCTATGGTTTTTTTTCTAGCAGGATATATATTTATTATTGTTCCCTAGTGTTAGTATTTGTCATCCCTCCCCACCCCAGCCTTTTTTTCTTAAGTTCTTTACACCCATATTAATACTTTATCTGGTGCTTCTTAAGAGGATGGTATATCACCCCATATAATTTAAATATATACTCTTTTTTTACTTTTTTAACTAATTTATTAAATGTTAAGTTTTAATTGACAATTATTGACAATAATGCTTCCTTAGCCTTTGTGTCTTTCTATTTTGTTATATCTTATAAGTTGCTTTTGAACAAGTACACTTTGGACTCACTTGTTGGGCCTCTGAAATTATCTGCTAACCCAACTGTAACCAAAAGACCTTTTAAGAAAAGTGCTAACTCATAGGTAGCATGAGCTTTGTGGGTCTGTTGCTGGGGATTTTGGTGGGCTTTTTTATGGAAATTTGTATAATGCATTTTTTTTAATTGAACCATACACATGTACTCACTTAGCCAGCAGACACAAACTCACTCACGCTTAGCCCTGCACACTCAGATACCTCAACACATACTGCCCCATACTGCCTGGGGTGTTGTATGTGTTTTGGAGATGGTTTGTGGGGTTGTGCATGTGGGGGGGGGGGGTGATGTTGTGTATGGTTGCAGGGTGGCTATATGTGGTTTTGCATGTGTGGGGATGCTGCTTAGAGAGTGGTTGCATGTGAGGTTACAATTGTGGATGGGGATGTTTGTAGTGTAGTGTAGTATGTGTGTGTGATAGGTGCTGTAGTATATATGTGAGGGGTACTAGGACTGTGGTCTTTTGGGGGGAAAACTGTAGGTTATGCCTGGGAGATTTAAGCTGGAGTGTGTGTGGGGGTTAAGGACTGTAGTGTGTGCAGAAGGGGATAGGGACTACAGTGGGTGCAGCTGCACTGCAGAAGGGGATAAGGGCTGTATTAGATGCAGGAGAAGATATGGACAGTTGTTGGTGCAAGGGGACTAGGTGCTGTAGTTGGATGGAGGGGCAATATGGTCTGTAGTGGTTTCAAGGGGTAGGGCCTCTAGTGGGTGCAAAAGTGATAGGGCTGCAGTGAATTAAGAGGAGATAGGGTGTAAAGGGTGCAGGGAGGAGACAGCTGTAAAAGGTGCAGGAAGGTGCATTGGTTTCAGGGGAGATAGGGGATGTAGTGGTGCAAGGGAGATAGGGTCAGTACTGGCTGTAAGCGAGGTAGTGGCTGTAGTGGCAGTAAAGGAGGAGCTATAGTGGGTGTAGGAGGTATACGGGCTGTAGTCATTGTAGAGGGGATATGGGCTGTAGGGGGATAGGTGCTGTACTAGATGTTGGGGGATAAGAATTGATGCACTTGGTGTAGGGTGGATAGTGGCTGTAGGGTGATAGGGGCTGTAGTGGCTGTAGGAGGGAATAGGGGCTGTAGTCAGTGAAGGGGGAATAGTGCATGTAGGGGGATAAGAGGGTGCAGGGGCTAGTAGCGTCTGTATTGGATGCAGGGGGCATAGGAGCTGTAATGGGTGGAGGGGAGCATAATGGCAGTAGTTGGTGAAGTGGGGGAATAGGCGCATTAACAAAAAAGAAATATAAATAATATATTTTGCCTTTTCACTTATTTTGCCATTGTATGTGGGACATGCTACACTATATTCTGCTGTATCTTTCTGTCTCCACATATCATACTACCTCTGAAAATGCAAGATGCACTTCATAATCTGTGGAGGAGGAATACTTGTCCCTGGTTCTCCAGTGGTCCAGTGGCAGGTGCAAACCATGATTTCTGCTTCCTCCAGCCATCCCCACGTAAAGATTTCGTGTTACCATGGCAATGTTCTGATATGCTGGTAGAAGACCTGGGTTGACCAGTGATGGAGTGTCACAGTTCTCTCTTTGGGCCACCAAGGGAGATGCTTTGATCCCATGTTGACCTAGGCCTGTGACCCAGTGGTGGGCTATTTGTTGGACATGCCAAGTACTCCAAAATAGTTCTCTAAGGAGGCATACTATATCAAAGATCATCTAGATATTTATTTATCAGCTATTACAATTTAAATTCTTCTAAAATGTTCAAATATTGACATGTATTATAGTTATTTAACAGGATTATTTACCAACCTCAGATAGATACTCCTGTGTGTTATCTGTAAATACAGGACGGCTGTACATATATACTGGCGGAGTAGATGAAGAGTTTGATATTCTAGAAACTCGTTTTGCTTCTTTGATTCGATTGCGAACAAAAAGTGCTGCTTTTCTTGATGACTTTAAAGTGGATTCCAGGTACATATTTGGAAAAAGTGCTGTACTTTCTTTCCATAGCCAGTAGAGTCCATCATTTCTCATTTTCTCAATCTCTGGGCAATGACCAGAATAACTGTGTCTGTTCGTTTTGTAGTCATAGTTTTGGCAGTTAGGAAATAAGTAGAATCCCCACAAATATTGAGGTCTAAGAGACTTCCCAAGTCGTAAAGTGCTTAGCATTAAGTTCTTTGCTGCCTGTTCAAATTGTCTTTTAGCAACTGATTTCACATTTCTTTCAGGGAGCTCTAAATCTTGTTGCAAAGCAAATTCTGTGGAATGTCGCCTGTATATATCTTTGAAGGCCCAGTTTCTGATCCATGTGGGCCTCCAATCCTCCCAATCTATCACTGCCAAGCCAGACTGTGTAACGGATGGTATAGAACTTATAATATCCTCCTGGGCCTTCTTTAAATGTTGATGCATATTTGTCATTTGTGGTATACCTCCATTATAAACATTTCCTGTTTCAGGATTTATTGATGGATAATAACCAAGTCTGTCACTGTAGAATATAGTGATGTTCTGATCTTTCGCAGACCGTAGTGTACTTCCTATAATCTCAAACAAACTCAAATCAACATTGATATTAAATTTTTTTGCACAGAGTTCTGTTGGAGCATTCCATATGGATACAAAAGAGAACTGATCTTGAAGTGGTGATAGTGCTTGAATAGGCTGCTGCACTGAAGTTAATAGAAACAGCTTGACCAGTGCCATAATAAAATTGTTTGCTTGTATGATATTCTTTAGTTCCTCCATTCTTTGTTCTTTAAATTAAAGATAAGTAAACATGTTATAAAAAAGTATGTGTGTGTACATGTCTAATTATGTATAGGGGTCCCTGTACATATTTAGAAGTATAGAATATACTAACACATTTTTATATGTTGCATACTTTTGGTGCACATTAAAGTCACTAGCACTTACCTACAGCTTTGTGAACTACTAGTAGAATTGCCAAACAAAGATAGTAACTATGTTCACATATATATTATATATAAATATAGATTTTAATGTAGTATCATCCGCAGATTTAAATAAATACATATATAAATAAATACATACATGCATACATCTATAAATAAATGATAAAAGTTCCCAGTCTTTGCATTAATTATACTTATATATTCCAAACAGCTCCTAAGTATGCATAATGCTATCTTTGAAACAATAATTCAGGGGCATTTAGGTTAATTGATGCAAACATTTGGGGTTAATTTTAACCCATAATAAGTTTTTTTTTTTTTTTTAGCATGAGTTGATCACCATTACCTTAGTGGTTAAGGTACCCTGAAATGTGGCTTTTAGGAGCCTAGATCTATATATACGTGTTCTATTATGTTTATTGTATTCTACTGTGTTCTATTGTGTTCTATTGTGTTCTATTATGTCTTTAGAATTGGGATAGCAATGGAAATGGCCACTTAATTTAAGCTAAATTTCTTCAGCTTTCTAAAATATATGTATAACTTACTTCCCTAGATTGTTATTTACATTTGAATGTGCTGTAACTGGTGACACCTTTAAAAAAGGGTATCCAAATAAACCATTTCTATATCAGTTTTGGATTTCTGACACCACACCTTATGTATAAAAATATCATGCCTACAAACCATTCCAATTTTGAAGGAAGAGTCATGATTTTCAGGTCCTATCCCATCCTGTCCTGCCGTCACGCTTTTGGGGAAGCCAGGGAACTGCCCCCATCAATCATAGACATGCTCACACTATGTTCTGGGTACTAGAATCTTGTAGGGATCACCAGCTTGTCCTTCCCATAGTGGGCCAGCCTGACTGATGGAGATAAACTTTGGTCAGCCTGACCCCCATTTTGAGAAGGTCCTCCCATTTGCGATCTGAGATAATGACAAGATCACATCACTGGCCCACCCCCTTTATAATCCTCCCACAGGCATCCTGATTCTCAGTTGGGAGTTGGGAGGTAAGCAATACAAATAGGCACCATATTTCTCAGAATGACATTGCTATCTAGGTTAGTATGTTGAATGAGGTGATTAGAAGATCATATCATGTAGTATAGAAAAAATTTAAAAAGGATAGTTTTTTTTAAATATGCACATATTTCGAGGAATCTCTTTTCATACATTTCTAAATTGTAAGTATTATATAAACTTGAAATATGAATAGTTTTTTAAACAGGTTGTATCTATGTGAATATGAAGGTTTTTTATTTTTTCAGAAATACAGGAAATATACAACTAGGATATCTTAAAGAAAAGTAACAATGTATTATTATTATTATCATTAATATAAATAAAGCACCAACAAATTCCATAGCGCTGTACAAATGTAAAGGGACACATCAAGTGCCAAGAGTGCCCTGGTGCCACCCAATTGTAAGTAGTCAATCCATACTTCCCCATTAAAAAGCACTGAATCAATGTTTTCCTATGGGGGCTTCTGCATCAAATGACTGAGTTTTACTCGGTCTGTACAGTGCAAGCACATCTATTGGCTGTCAGTGTTACAGCCAGTGGGGTTGTGTTAAACATTGCCATTTTAGCAAAACTGCAATGTTTTACATGGTTACATTAACAGGACCTTGGTGAATTTAGCGGTCTTTTACACTTGAAATTCACTTTGAATTCCCAACAATTCTCAGTTTAGTAAATATCCACAAGTTGTGTAGTCCAAAACATATATATTTTTGTTTGTATATTTTGGTCCTCCCATTTGCAATCTGAGATAATGACAAGATCACATCACTGGCCCACCCCCTTTATATTCCTCCCACAGGCATCCTGATTCTCAGGACTCTGGAGTTGGGAGGTAAGCAATAAAAATAGGCACCATATTTCTCAGAATGACATTGCTATCTAGGTTGGTATGTTGAATGAGGAGATTAGAAGATAATATCATGTAGTATAGAAAAAATTGAAAAAGGATAGTTTTTTTTAAATATGCACATATTTAGAGGAATCTCTTTTCATACATTTCTAAATTGTAAGTATTATATAAACTTGAAATATGAATAGTTTTTTAAACAGGTTGTATCTATGTGAATATGAATTCCCAACAATTCTCAGTTTAGTAAATATCCACAAGTTGTGTAATCCAAAACATATATCTATATATATTTGTTTGTATATTTTGCCATTTTTCTTATACTTATCAAAAATTTGGAGGGAAAATAATTGTTAAATTTCACCAAAAGTGAGTTCCGTTTCCTCAATAGAGTTGGAGAGATTTATATATGGTGAATCCTTAAGGAATATGGTCCTACAGGTAGATAAAAAAGAGAAAAACAAACACCTGTGCAATATTGTCTGTATACTAGAGTTGGAGTAAATGGGTATATGCAAATGCACTCACAAGTAAAGAGCCAGTAAATCCCTGACTCAAGATATCAGCTTGGTGGGACTTTTGTTTGTCCCACTACCTTTTCTTGGTGGGATTTTTGGAGCCCCACTCCCTTTTCTGTGTGATCAGCTTGGTGGGATTTTTGGGGTTGATCAGCTGGGATTTTTGTGGTATCTCTTTTTTTATTTATCAGTAGGACCATATTCCTTAAGGATTCACCATATATAATTCTCTCCAACCCTATGTAAGGTACTCCACCGTGTGTATATTTGTGTTTTGTATTTGTTGGTATGGTTTAATGGGACCCCACATAGGTGTTAGCGTAATAAACATTGTTTGCAAACTCACTGAGATTTTGCACCTACGTTGTCTTGTAACTTCCATTTCCTCACTGAAATCTGCATTATATATATATATATATATATATATATATATAATGTGATGTATATATAATTATACATTACATGACATTTCTAAACCGGTTTCATAAATTAGTATATTGGTTATTAAATATCAGTTACTTTAATCTAATTTGCAACATATTCAAATTAATGTATTAAAAGACAATATGTTATATCCACATTATAGGTATACATGGAAATAACTGGATACTTACATTCTAGCAGTGTCATTCAGTAGAGAGATGTTATGTGAATGGCTCTTGGAGGCTTTTAATTAATACTACAGTCTGTCACATGTTCTTATTTATATATAGCCCCATTCTAGAAGAGTAGAAAAACACCAAACTGAAATTTGCATTGTTTAAGACCAAACTGTGTGTGATTCCCAGATATAGGAACAAAAAAAGGTCTCCAATGTCATTGTTACTGTTGCATCACAAACAGTAGGAGACCTGATAATATAAAGTTAATGAGTCAGCGGATTGCAAAACTCTGGAAGAAAAGTTCTATGATAACTAGCACTCACTGATAATTATGTATTTATTATTTGTTTTATTTTTCAATGGTATTTGAATAATTGTTAATGGGTTTTATAAAACAATGTTTTTGGTTAGAATAACTCTGGCTGTGCTGGTCTACGTTGTCCCCCTCAACCTCAATTATAAAAACAAAAAACGTAAGCAAAAACTTACTTGCCAAGGCCAAGTTCTCCCTGTAGCTGGATCCTCTTACACTGATGTTAACTCTGTTTGGCAATGAACAGATATCAGGTAGGATCCGCTGAGGGAAGATGTGGTTGCATGTGGGGACATCTTTTGTCCAATATGCACATATTTAACATTAGGCACCTGGAACTCTTGTTCTGGGTTGGATAATGACACCCAAATGACACTGCCAGAAGGGACTTAAACCTCTGGCAGCATAGATGTTAAACTCTGTGTGTGCTGCTTTTTATAGTGAAATGCTGCACACACAGGCTTTAGGCACCATGACCACTTCAAATCAATGAAGTTCTCATACCGCATGGAGTAACTCTTTAATGAAAATTTCTATAATTTGTATAATGTACACAATGTAGTAATTATGGTGCCAATGTGCTCAATGTAGGGGTTCTGGTGCCAAATGTGTCCTGTTGCTCCACCACTGTCAGTAGTCAAACTTTTTAAGAATGCTACCAGGTGCTACTCTCTGTCTGCATTACTACTACCAGAGATCTGGAAGCTGTCTGCCTGAATTAAGCACATCAGTGCAGGGGTTAGCTCATTGGCTGAGTGAAATCTGCTCTGAGATGCCTAGTAGCTTCCATTTTTTTGGTGGAAGTAGTGTAGGTGCGGAGAAGTCTACTAACATTCTTTACTACTTACAAGGGGTAGGTCACTAGGGTACTTCTGCACTATAGCCTCTACAGCACAATGAAGTGTTCATTGTCAGTGGTATATTTTGGTTTTGTGCTCCCTAGACTAAACTCAGACACCCCCTAAATCTAAATTTGTCCCACCTCTTCCTGTCAAGAATGCACTTCATCCTGTTTAGGACCAACACACACTTTAACTGACAGACACACACCCTCACTGACATGCACTCACTGACAGACACATAGTCGTTGGCACAAACACTGTTTAATCAATACATAATTTCTTTGACAGACACACACTAACACATCTGCTCACTGACAGACATAGCTGACACACATACTCCCACTGATTTGAAACATTCTCAGTCACACACACATTCACTGACAGTCACACACACTCTCATTGATTTGAGACACACTGAAAGACACTCTCTCTATTTTGACAGACTCACTGACAGACACACACATACACTGACACACACTCACAGACACAAACACATTCACTGACAGACACCGACACTGATACTTTCACACACATTTTCTCCATACTTTTGGGAGAGCTGGAGTGGATTCTTTCCCTGGGGTCAGGCCCGGACTGGCCATCGGGCATACCGGGCAATGCTCTTACTTGCAGCTCTGCCGGGTTCCTCTCGCGAGGTCGGAGAGTTGACCCGCAGCCTAGA